GCGAGGGGTGAGAACCACACGCAAATTGCAATCGCGAGGGGGCTCGTCAACTCCAGCCTCGGGAAGGGAGTACAACTTCTTACTCTCTTAGAAAGGGCGTTATATGTGGTGCAGTCTATGCGGCGCCGTTGACGTTTACAAATGAGTTGACAACTTCAATGCCTTTGCAGACATCCCGCCCACCCGCCCGCAATTGGCTTTGCAAAACCCATGCGGCGGCGATTGCGATGAAGGGTTGGCGTTGGTTGTCGCATCTCTGCGGCCGCGCTGGCCCGCGCGTGCTCGCGCGCACAGCGGCCAGATTGCATGGCGCGACCGACGCGGCCGCGGCGGCGCTGACCGCCGGGCAAGCACGGGCGCGGCATCGCGGCGACGCCGACAACGGAAGACGCGATAATGATAACAGCGATGATGGCGACGATGGCGGCGATGACGACGGCAAGGCCAATGGCGGCGCCGACGACGATGGCGCTCGCCGAGAATGCCGACGACGTCCTCGCGTCGGCGATGAAGGTTCTAAGGGGTCCGACGCGCGCGCGCGGCCGACGCTCGCGAGTGGCCCGCGCGGCGCCATTTGATGCGGATCGCGCCCCCGCCCCCAGCACGCGCGCAAGCGCCCGAATGAGATCGACATGCGGCGCGAGAGGCCCGCCTGGCAGAACGCGATGGACACGTCGGGGAACCCATGGTTTTCCCAAGAACCCGCAAGACCGCGAGCGCGGAATTATTCCCCATATCCTAAGATGGGGGTTCTTATTACTACTTGGACGCCTCCTACTCCTCCTTCTCCTTTTCCTTCTCCTCCCCTCTCCTCCTCATACCCAGACTTACTCATACACAGACTGACTCACACTCAGACTTACTCATACCCAGACTTACTCACACACGACATTACTCTTACTCAGACCTGCTCATACTCATACCTACTCCTACTCAGACTTGTTCATGATGAGACTCCGCACGCCCCGTTCGCGGCCGTTTTGCGGGAATGCCTCAAGCGGTTTGCCTGTTTTCTTTCCCAACATCCTTGGCTACCACGAGCAGATTGTGAGGATGTTTCAGGCGGGGCGCTGGTTTCAGCTCCCCCTGAGGGGAGCCGCCAGGGGTTCTCTCACGGTCCCGTTCGCGGCCGTTTTGTGTCTCAAGCGGTTTGCCTGTTTTCTGTCCCAGCACCCTTCGCTTTCGGAGCAGATTTGGAGGATGTCTCGAGCGAGGCGCTCATCTGTTTGATTTATGTAAGGGGAGCCGCCAGGGGTTCTTTCACGGTCCCGGTCGCGGCCGTTTTGTGGGGATGTCTCACGCGGTTTGCCTGTTGTTCCCAACCATCCTGTGGTGTTGGGTCCTCGTTTTGAAGAGACAGCGCCCCGCGTTCCTCTCTTCTCCTCTCCTCTCCTCTCCTATCCTCTCCTCTCCCTCCTCCTCCTCCTCCTCTCCTCCTCCTCCTCCTCCTCCTCCTCCTCCCCCTCCTCCTCCTCCTCCTCCTCCTCCTCCTCCTCCTCTTCCTTCTCCTCCTCCTCCTCCTCCTCCTCCTCCTTCTCATCCTCCCCCATAAGGAGCTCCACCGAAAGCCCCAGTGGTGGTGTTCGCATGCATCTCCCCCGCCCAGGACAGCGTTGCGTGGCCCCATAGGGAGCTCCACCGAAGGCCCCGGTGGGGGTGTTCGCAGGCGTCTCCCCCGCCCAGGACAGCGCTTCGTGGCCCCATGCGGGGCTGCACCGAAGGCCCCAGTGGGGGTGTTCGCGTGCGTCTCCCCCACCCAGGACAGCCCTTCGTGGCCCCATAGGGAGCTCCGCCGAAAGCCGCCGTGGGGGGGTTCGCATGCGTCTCCCCCACACAGGACAGCGCTTCGTGGCCCCATAGGGAGCTCCACCGAAAGCCCCAGTGGTGGTGTTCGCATGCGTCTCCCCCACCCAGGACAGCGCTTCGTGGCCCCATAGGGAGCTCCACCGAAAGCCCCAGTGGTGGTGTTCGCATGCGTCTCCCCCACCCAGGACAGCGTTTCGTGGCCCCATAGGGAACTCCACCGAAGGCCCCACTGGGGGTGTGCGCATGGGTCTCCCCCGCCCACGACAACGCTAGGGAGCTTCACGGAAGGCCCCAGTGGGGGTGTTCGCATGCATCTCCCCCGCCCAGGACAGCGCTTCGTGGCCCCACAGGGAGCTCCACCGGAAGCCTCAGTGGGGGTGTTCGCGTGCGTCTCCCCACCCAGGACAGCGCTTCGTGGCCCCATAGGGAGCTCCACGGAAGGCCCCAGTGGGGGTGTTCGCATGCGTCTCCCCCACCCAGGACAGCGTTTCGTGGCCCCATAGGGAACTCCACAGAAGGCCCCACTGGGGGTGTTCGCATGCGTCTCCCCACCCAGGACAGCGCTTCGTGGCCCCATAGGGAGCTCCACCGAAAGCCCCAGTGTCGGTGTTCGCATGTGCCTCCCCCGCCCAGGACAGCGTTTCGTGGCCCCATAGGGAGCTCCACCGAAGGCACCAGTGGCTGCATTCGCATGCGCCTCCCCCCCCGGGGCAGCATTTCGTTGCCCCATAGGGAGCCCCACCGAATGCGTTGCTCACAAAGACGGTACTCACAACTGAAAGTGGTTGGGTCCTGCGCCAGGCTAATCTGTCACAATAT